TATATATATATATATATATATATATATATATATATATATACAGAAATGTAAACTGTTTGTAAAACAATGAGTGAAGTATAAAGAGGTGACTGTGCTCTGTGGTATGAAGATGTCCCTGGGCCTGGTGGTATGGGACCAGATGCTGAAAAAAAGTCGGACTAATTAAATGCCATAAAATGGAAGAATTGAACGTGAACTAAGAACAAAATGAAAGATTGTAAACTGAAGTAGTTAATTTCATCTGTGTGAACTGAACTTTGAGCTAGCACTTGTTCAGTGCTAGCTCAAACCCAGCGCATCATCAGGTAAGGACGGTGCTAAAGAAGCAGGAAATACTATATGTCAGTCTGCAATTTTTTGTGTTCTATATTTGTTGTTTTATCTCCTTCAACTAATAAAATAACATGATAGTCAGTAACGTTATTGATACACCATGATGATAATAATAATAATAATAATAATCAACACTGATTCATTATAACATATTTGTTTTAAATTGATTTCATCAACAGTCCCCAGGAGAAATGGGACTCGGTCTTAACTTGGGAAACCAACATCTGTAGAAGATTATGAGAGCGCATAAATGCAGACAGTTGGACAGATTTACATAAAAAACACAATCTAACTCTCTGTCAACAGGGAAAGGAGCATCAATGCAAAAAGATACTGATCCGATCAGTGGCACTGATGATTTAGTTCAGCTCAAGGATTCTGTGTTAAAAACGTGGTCGTTCATGCACTGAGAGACTGACCTCAAATAACAATTTTCTGAATATGTCTCAACAAGACGAGTAAGGAAAGCACATTATACGAAGCATGAAACACAGCATTGGCATGGTGTAACAGGGCAGAGGTTCAGTGTGTGAAAATAAAATCCATTTTCTGAAAGTGAGACCAATCTGTACTAAATGTTTTCACTTCTCCTTGTCTTAAGCACATTAGGATTATATTCAGTGACTGGTACTGTTCTCTAAACTTACTGCTCCAAACAAAACAAGGATTAACTCGCAGGTCTTTCTGCCAACACACTTTCTGTTATTCAGCGCTTTGCTACGGACCCTACGGAGTCTATAATTATGATAGCATTCATTTATTACATGTACAAATGTCCAACCAGTGCAAAATCATAGAAAATGTCTTATAAATCTATCCTGGGACTGCTGACAACTTGACCTGAGTGACGCCTAAAGGCTGCAGTAGTTTCAAGTGGCTAACTTTAACCACCTTCACTTCAACAGGAATGTAATCTAAAGGATCCAGGGGCTTACCTTTGTCTGTGGATGGTAGAAGTCCCTGAGCCGTTGCCCCCCCCCCACAGCGCGCTAATATCTCAAACACCCCTGCTGAGCATCCACTCAGAGCTGGTGTGTAGAGAAATGAGTCTGTGCTGCAGGTTGAAGGAGATGTTATCCAGCTCAGTGTGCTGCTCAGGGAATGAGTGAGGCAGCAGAGACAGAGGGAGAGCAAGAGATGGAAGGAGGGAGGGAGGGAGGGAGCGAGGGAGGGAGGGAGGGCAGGCAGATGGGAGGTGATGGGAGGCGACTGGATTGTTTTCGATTAAAGTAAATGTTGGGGATGTGTGTGTTATGCGGGGTTGAGGTGGATTATGATTTGTGTGGGTCAACATGATGTGTTACAGTGAGCATCAATTCCTCTTTTTCTCCCTGTGGAGTGTCCACAGCTGCTGAGAGGAGAGAAAATTCCGGAAATCTTGCAGAGAGATAAGACAAACATTTTCTTAAAGCACTCTGGAGACAGATAATAGTAACAGAGTTCCTAAACCTTTTCAGCTGGTTCTATCATCCCTGCAGCCATACAAATTGTGGCGCTATGCCCTCCTGTTATCATGAAAACAAGCACCACTCATCACTGTTGCCCTTGTCATCCCTCTCTCCTCTCACGTCCAGGAAGAGCCGTCTTCAGGGAGATCTCTGCCCGAGGTGCTTCTAGGTGGGGATCTGAACCCTGGCCTGGTGTCAGATTGAAATGGCATGGCGCCAAGGCTCATTATCAGCCTGATTAACCACACTAATTAGCTGATAATAAAAAGGAAGAGTGTGTTTGGCTGACGCTCAGTTGCTCAGGTAGCTGATAGTGCCCAAAACAAGATGAGAGTCAACAGATTTAGTGAATCGAACCCAAAATACAACATTTAATGTGTTAAAGATCCTTTTTGTTGCTCACATGCCAACACATTCTCAAACCAAAGCACATGCAGCGTCATTGAGTTTATTGACGATTAATGTCGCAGAAATGTTTCTAAGTGAAGAAGCTTGCAGACATTTAACAACAACATGAGTGATGGAGTGCAACACGGCGGGGAGTCGAGGTTTGCAACAGAGTTCATAATTTATTCATATATTTTATTTAGCAGGGAGGATGGTTCAGCTCACATAGTCACTGTGTAAAGTGCAATATGATTTATTACCATGATATACTGAAACCTGAATTTTATGTTCCGAGTCACAGGAATTGAGAAGTTAATTATACCTTTTAAGGTTTATAATTACGAAGTAAATATCAAGGTGGAGGGGTGAAAATAACCAAAAATATTTTTCTTTTTGAGGTTTTAGTCATTTCTTACATTCTATACCTACAATATTCATGTTTAGTGTTTCCTGTTTTATTTTGTTACACACCTCTCCTCTAATTTCAGATTACTTCACTTCCTGTCTTTGTGTGTTTTGCCACACGTTTGTGTGTTCCTGTATTGAATTTTGCAAGTGATCTGAGGTGTTCTGCTACATGTGTGTGGTTGTTTCACAATGTGTGTTGTGTTTTGACAAAATGAGCCCTGTTTTCAAAATTGTGCAGAACTTCAGGTTTGGATTGAGAAACCCACAGACTGCAGCGGAGGCTGCCTCCTGGGCTTATGCATTTGTGGCTGCTGAAGGACATCCAAAGGCTGGAAGAAGGACAGCCAGAATCCTGTCTCAGCCCAACATGACCCAAGACTAAATCTTAGTGTGGGTTAGTCTCCTGTAAGAGAGAAATCTTCCCTTATAATGCTCCAAAAGCATCTGGCAGAACCCTTATTTGCTATTCGTGTGGACACACTGACCCAGCGTGTCCCCAGAACCCAGTTAAGCTCTCTCAGAAGTGTTTTGTGCCCAGGGAGAGATTGGAGCTATCCACAGTTGTGAAGTCATTAAAGAGACTTCTGTGGAAGTGAACAGTCAGACATTTAAAGAGCTGATTGACACAGGAAGAACACAGACACTTGTTCAAAGCAGTTATGTTTCATCTCATTCCATCTGCTGTGTCGATGGAGATGAAAGACAACATCCCACAGTAGATGTCTACATAAAGGTGCAAGAAAAAAACAAGACCTGTTAAATGTTGTCGTCATAGACAACCTACTCCTTTTGTGCTTTGTCCCTGACAAGGTGAACGTTGTTTATTTCAAAGTTACACTGGCAGGGTCGCCTCATAGTTTCTACCTCATTGTCACTGGTAATGGAGTGTAACTTCAGACTACGGTATACTTCTTTTCCTCGTAAATGTTATGTGGAGGTTATTTCAGGCACCTTTGCAGACGCAGTTTGCAGCCGGATGCAAACCGGATGATCACACAAGGGTGAATTGTGTGCTCACCGTAGCTTGCAGCTTCAAGGTTGGCCATTCATGTTGGCATATATATTTTATTTTGACCCTCAGGGCCACTGTAGTTACCTGCATGTTTTTGGAAGACACTCAGCAGCAATCTTGGGACAAGCCCTATTTTGTTTTAAAGGATAATCACTTTGTTTATTAATCCTGCAGCTAACAAAAGGGTCCCAAAATAAATCGAAACACTCTAGAAGTGTAAGTTTTAAATATAGTTTGCATCATATTCACCATTATTGGGACTCATTTATCTTGTAAGGTAAGTCATATTATGTCACATGTGAGCACTGTCTTCAATGACTGCTCAAGGTCCACATGTTGTCCCTCTGGGGAGAGATGTATTCACAGAATCAGAAAAGGCTAAGAGAGCGCATGTAATCAAGCATAACAGTGTTAGGTCAACTTTCTGTCCCTTTGAACAATGAAGTCATCCAGCAAGCATTGTGGTAGGTACACTGCAAACAGGAGACGCATACACCTGCCCACGTGACTGCTGTAAAGAGCCATGAAATTCAAGTAAAATGCCTGATTTTAGCTTCTAAAAGCTGCTTTATTTTAGTCCCACTTCTCAGGACAGCGTCTGTTCCGACTAATGTATTTCAACCTCATTCAAAGTAAATGAAAATCAGTGCTTTAAAAGGGTTGGTCGCTTTGGTGTTCTTTCTTTCCCTTTTTCTTTTCAGAACGATACTGTACTAGTTACGATTTTTCTCACATTTCCAGGAGTCACAACCTTTTGCTTTCTGCCAGTTGTGTTTTGGGCTTTCTGCTCCTTGTTGCACCATTGTTAGCAAATGTGTTGCTTACCTAACTTCAAACAAGCTGCAGGCAAACATCAAATCTTTGCTGCAGTTTCCAGTCTGGATAGTGCATGTTACATACTCAAGTGTAATTACAAGAGTCTAATTGTGTTTTAAGTAGGGAACTTCAAATTTGATTACTGGAGATTTATTTGCTGTGATGCAGCGTATGTTTGCTCTCACACAGACCATGAACAAATACTGGATTGCCTCGATGATTAGTAGATCTGATAAACAAGCTTGAAAGCTTTTTAATTAGAGCATTGATGATGAATGCCACTGTACGTATTTGATGGAGAAGGCTGCTCAACTTTGCTAAAAGCCTGTGGCAGAAAATATTGCTTGGAAAGTGAAGGGAAGGATGTTGTTGTTGGATGACCATTTATATATTTCTGTCTCATAACGAACAATGATATCAAATTACAGGTTGCGCAACATGGACCGAATGGCTCTTTTCTCCGGTTCCAACAGAAGACCTATATATGAAAACGGCGTGTTCATATTTGTAGCCAGATTAATTAATCAGCATTTAACACAGCTTTTCATTGCTATTGTTTTTGCTTTTGCCTAAAATCACTATTTTTGAGCATGCGGCTTCACAATAGTATTAATCACTGCTTTACATTCTCCTCTCCCTACATGTCAATTATGACTCATGTAAAATGCTGTCGGATTAGACCGGCAGCCAGTTTAACCAGCCCAGAATATTTGAATTTTTAATTGCAACGCTTTAAGCCGAGGCTGTTTTCGAGCCAGAAGCTTATTTATTGTGACGAGGTGATACTATCTTACATTTGTCCTTTTCTTACAAATACTAACAATGCTATAGTCTTGCTTATATAAGGATGGTTTGCTGGATGAAATAGAGGCATTGATTGTTTGACGCAGGTGGCAGCTGAGGCAGTCTGTCTGTCTGATCAGACAGCGTTGGTCGTCCTTACACACTCTGTCAGCTCGGTGGCGTTCTGTTAGATTCATTGTCGTCCCTCAGCCCCTAAACAAAGGCTGAGGCCTATTAAAACAGATGCGGTAAATCGAAGGCGGAGAATATACCAGTTAATCACGGAGAAGCACACGGGTCATTAAGCACAGCAGTGACATAAAAGCCCTGACGTGAAGTCCCACTGCTGACTAACTCGGAGGAACCGGACCTGAAGCAAACCTCATGGTCTCTCTCCTCGTCTCATAAATCAGCGGCCATTAAATCACTGTTTCCAGGTGTGATGTGTTGAAATAGGGGCAAACACATGCAGCGTGATTGCTCTGGACATTTTCAATGCCATTTTTTTTGCTACTCATGCAGGCCAAACCTGAGCGTGACCAAGCATAATGCTTTGGAACAACAACATCTAAAAACAGGCCATTTAAGAGGAGACTTGTCTACTTATGCAGGGCCTGCCATAGGGGAAATGTTAAGTGTGCATTAGTGGCAGTACCTGTTTATGTGCACTTGTGTTGATGCTTACTACTCTCAGTAAACTTGATCCATAGTGAATGGAACATATAAAAAGTCTGATCTCCATTTGTGAATATTATCTGTAGCATCCCGGACACATTAAGAAGAGCAAATTGTTTTTTCCTGAAATTACTTTGTCAAACTACACGGAAATAATCGGGAAAATAATAACGAAAGGGGGAGCAATGAAAGCAGCATACTTTTCCTAGTTTGGAACAGACTGCACAACTATACAAACTTAGTGGAAATAAAAGATTAACAGTACATGAAGCCCAAACCAGCCTTTGACTTCAGTAACATGTTTAATGCCGGACTTTTACTTTTAATGGAATATTGTTACATTGTGGTATTGCAACTTTACTGAAGAGATGGATATGAATACTTCTTCCACCCGTGATACAAATGTTTTGTGGTTGTCTCTGTTTTTCAAGCTCACAGCAGAGTTGCTCGTGGTGACAAATACAAACTGGATTGCTCTTATTCCAAACAACATCCTATTAACTCCAGATTAATCAGTCTCTTTGGTCACTGAAACGTGACAACAAACCCCCCTTGATGGGGTCTTTTTCTCTCCACCTGTCCTCAAGTTGTAGCAGCTAGGACAACGAGATGGCAGGTCTAATCCTCCTTATCTTAATGGCATCCACCTCTATCTCTAGAGCGGTGGGGACAATCGACCCTTTCCCTTTCTTTATCAGCAAAAAACACTTCCCCCCCCCCCCCCCTTCTCTTTCAGATCCCCCCTTCCTCTCCGTTAGACTCCTCGGCTGGTCTGTCGCTCTCTGATATTACCTCATCTTGTTGTGCTTTGTCACAGTCTTACCTAACTAGTATTTATTTGGAGATGCCTGGTTCCAGGAAAATATTAGAAGCTTGTTGGGAGACGTGGCTGCTGTTGTAAAGGACTAATGGCCCAATGTTTTTGACAGAACCACAAGCTCACACACGTGCACACACACACACACACACACACACACACACACACACACACACACTCACACACACCGCACACAGGGTGAATGTCTACCTTGGCTCTGGGTTATTATCCTTTGCCTTCTCATGTTCCCACTGGGACAATTGCAGCTCTTCAACAATGGAGTCAGGAGAGACTTTTCAGATCCGATAAAAAAGCAGAGATTGACCAGATCATGTGGTAATACCACGTTTTCTTTTCAAAACCCTCACACAGTGTGGATTGTACAACCACAATCTCTGGTTTTCCCAGAAATTGTGTTTTATCGGGTACACTTTTCAAAGTCAACATGTACAAAAGAAAATCTGTGTGCTTTACTTTAAAACAGTATTTACTAAGATGGATTTCTTACGGTTAACTTGAAATAAATAAAAACCAATAGCTTTGCCTGAATACAATTTCACTGCATTGTTCTTGTAATTCTCAGTGTGTCTCTTTTTGTCCGCCACTGGAAACTGGTGATAGCTTTCATTCTTTAACAGAAAAACATATTAGATACATAGAGGCTAATAATCCTGACAATAATGATTTAGGTATGATTTGATACAAACCCTGAATGTTATACTGATCTTACTGTACTATCCAGGAGATGATTTTGTGCCCTGTTCTGTGCAGCGTATTTTTGTGTGTAATTTAGTGTCAGCTACTTTCTCATGAAGAAACTAAATAGTGTTTTTTTCACGAAAATCTTTGGGTGCATTCAGGACAAACAACTTTTATTTGAGAAGTACTTTTGTTTACTTGTTACTAAAAATAATTGCCACTTTTTAAAAGCATTTTCCAAAGTTGTAAACAAAGCTCATTGATTTCCATCAAACAGTCAGACAGAAGACTGCAGTCTGACGGAACAATGTTTCATCTGACAGCATGAATATCATTTCCTATTGAACACCACTCATCACTACATATAACTGCTTTGTCAAATAACAATAAATGACACCAATATCAGACATTTAGAAAATGATATATGCTGAGAACCACCCCCTAAATGGCCAGGTGAATATATAGGAGACCTGAGTATCTCACCTGTGTTGTAAATACACCGAACAGGAGGAGAATTTATTTCAAATGATATATAATAGTATAGTAACGTTTAAGTTATGAATACATTAACAGGAACTCTTCTGCCAATCTGTCTAAACTCTTCTCACTGGTTTGAGGTGATTGGGCTTCACTTGAAAAAAAGGTGACGTCATGAACGTTCATGCCAATCTGATGGAAGATGTGGCGCTGTTTCCTGATGTTGTCAAGTCCCGGTCCAGATGAAGCTGGACTTTGTGATTAAGTGATACATTCCTCATAGAAAATACACATGAATGAGATATTTAAGATTTGAAAACAATGTGTTTTACTTTAAGGCAATATTATGTACAATATGTCTTGGGATGCATGCAGTCTGTCAGACTGCATGCAGATTTGAAAAGTCAGCTTTAGGTCTAACTAAACTACAGACCAAGCATACCTGTATTGTGCTGAAAAAGTTAGTTGTTTCTTAAAATGATTATACTGTTAGTACCATGAATGTACAATATAAGGCAAACAATACAATATAATTACACTGAACAAGACCGGACACAGAGACACACGACACGTCTCTCTACACAATATATCAAGACAAATGTAAAAATATTCATCGATGTGATTTATTTTTCAATTATTTTTGGCACCTTTTTCCATAACACACCTTTTCATTTCCTCAAAATAATTGATCTTAGGTGAAATTTTGTTGTTTAGTACAAATATGAGTAATTCCACTTTTTTCTTGTGTTTTTGTTGTTGATGTGTCCGCTATCTGTGCCTAATGAACGATGAAGCGTTCTGGCGGCAGGCAGTAATTGCTCGGAGCCCAACAGTGGGGGGTGTCATTAGAGAGACAGGGAGGAGTGTATGACTTCATGACTGCCACAGTTTAATGATAATGGGGTGCAACTCCACACTACTGTGGTCAACTAATCATACTGGACTGGCCTGGACGTCTCTCAATGCAAACGAGCCATGACTGGAATACTAAGCAGCAGCTCGCCCACACAGTTCCACACCATTTGCTCCACGGGGGATCAGGCATACGATTATGGCTGTGACCCTGCACCACCTGCGACACTGTCATTAGTGCCACCACGGATGGACAGGTTTTATGTAACTAAACTAATGTCATCCAGCCACCCAGCAGAGGCTAACTATACGTTCCACTGTCGCCATTTCTACAAGCACAGGTTGTCCTCTACAATGGGGAGAAAATCAACATGTTGATTCACCAACCAACATAAAGCCTATACTGTATAAAGGAAATCAGCGAGAACTTATGTTTGTAATTGGGTGTGCAAAATATTAAAAACACCTCCCAATATAATGTAGTTCAATTCAACCTCCACAACAAACACATAGTGAAACTAGAGACCATCTTGAGATGTGATCACACCAGCTGTGGTCTCAAATTGGGCCAGGGGCCCTTTTCCCACTTCCTCGCCCTCTACTTCCAGCCCCCTCACTTAGACCACACCCATCTTTGAACCTGATCTTCATTTTGAGCTCTACAGATCTGACACAACTGTAAAGTTTCATGGCCGACAAATCTGTCCACAGACATGTAAACACAGAGTACTCAAATCCGCCTCTGTGGTAGTTCCAGCTACAGTAGCCTCACATTTAACCATGACAACGCACACACACACTGATTTACAAGGTGAAAACAAGAGCCACAAGCTGTTACTGCTGGAAACAACATCTCTCTGACGGTGTCAATCAGAACTGAACATTATGATCTTTGTGGGTGAGCTTTTGCATTGCTTTGCATTCGATTTTACTGGTGCACCTCATCATAAAGTGGCCACTGACTGTAAGATTCAGGCTGCACTGACGAAAGTTAAAAAGCCTAAAATTGCCTTCTGATGGTGGATAACAAGTGAATAATATATAGTCTGTCGCTATTGCTGTATATATCTGAGCAAGTATGACTTTAAATACTTATTCTCATAACTCTTTAAAATTTTAAACTCAACTGATCATGTAAACCAGGCTGAGCAGATGTCCACTCATACTTTCATGTTACTCCTGGGCTCATTATTTTTATCCTGGCACCTCTTGCAGGTGTCATTGTAGGAGTTTCCTCTTTGAAACTTCTGGCCTGAAGTTCAGTCCTTCTTTCTACCTAATGATACCTACCTTGAGTTTAAGTCTGAATTACAGTATTTAACTATTTTGCTTCAGTTATTAGTTAGATTTAGTTAGGCTCAGTTTTTGCTGAAATTGTTGAAAAATGCTTTGTGAATTCATTTGACCTGGCATGATAAATAAACAATGTCATTTTGTGCATAGACTCAGCAGCTCTTGTTATTAACAAATGGTGGAATGTAATTGAGTAAGTCGTAATTTACATTTTAACCAAGCTATACTCAAGTACAATATACTTGATCTCGACTCCACTATGTTTCAGACTAAAATATTGTAGCCTACTTTGTATTCAACTGCATTTCCTTAATGGTTGTTTTTAGCTCTGCAGATTCAGATTTTACTACAAAATATCTAATCATCTGATGTAATATGTTCATGTATTCTATGTGATCTGACAACTATACTTAAAATGCAGGACCTTACTTACAGCAGTAAGGGATAAGGGTGTCAATGTAATATATTTTCGATTTTCCAAATCCAATAATAGAACTAAATCCAACATCGACTTAGTCTGTGTCTCTGTCTGTGGCATTCAGTCCCAAGCCCATTGGCTCCTACACAAAATGTAAATCACATTGCCATGTTTAATGGTTGCTGGACAACACTGTGGCACAGAAATATAAACTATATCAGGCTTCAGCCACAATACTTCAATCCAATGTTGGAATTTGAAGGCAATAAGAAAAATATAGATCACCAAACGACTGCTTGAATAGAATATGATTTACAATGTGGTTCTTTAACAGTGCTATTAACTAATCTGTAGTCCTGACCAGCTTCAACTGTGTCCAGTCAGTGTCACTAGTTAAATAAACAGCGCCCTCTGTTGTTCAACATCACGTCCTGTAGCTTAAATCAAATGTGTGTCTGTCCCTTTAAGATAAAACCTTGGACAGTTGCAAAGCATGACGGGTAGAAGGTTCACAGCCAATCACATCGTTGTTGTCAACGCGTTGTTAAGAAGCTGGTGGTGGAGCCCAGTTTAAATCACAAAAGAGTACGAAACATCCGCTTTTTCTTTCCCTCTCAGCTAAATAAATGTGATTTAAACGTGTAATTTAAAAAAAATGTCCTCCGCCGACCGAGTAGACGTTTTACGAGAGCGTAACAGAGATTTATTGAACCGGTTGAAGCAGCAGCGAGAGAAACTGGAGCGGCTCAGCGGCTGCAGTCAGAGCCGCAAGAGGGAGAGAGAGGACGAGGCTGCGGAGAGGAGGGAGAGAGAGGACGAAGCAGAGGAGAGGAGGGAGAGAGAGGACGAAGCAGAGGAGAGGAGGGAGAGAGAGGACAAGACTGAGGAGAGGAGGGAGAGAGAGGACGAAGCAGAGGAGAGGAGGGAGAGAGAGGACAAGGCTGAGGAGAGGAGGGAGCCAGCAGAGATCCTGACCGATGGAGACCGAGGTCCTGCCCGGGCCGCACTCGCCAGACCTACAGTGAGATTTGCGGGTAAATAAAACCACAAAGAGAAGACGGAGGGTTTGCTTATCACGTTACATTTCACCGCAAGCCTGTGTTGTGTATGTGATAAATACATCTGATCCCCCGGTGTCTCCATCAGATACGTGCGAGAGACAAACAGGCGTCCGCAGCTCTATTTCAACACCGTCTTTGACCTCCAAATACAGAAGAGTGACTGCTGAACATACAGCACCATCAGGCCTGTTCAAAGACCGCAACAGACATCCTCTAGTCCACAGCAGGCTGCAGCAAATGGACCCATCCACAACCGAGTCCTGTCTAGTAAATCACAGCAAAGAACAGGTAGGAAAACATATCCTGTACGGTAAGCAGCACTGTTTACTCACCCGCATGTGTGCTGGAAACTCAGTGGACCTGTCTCTGGAAGGGTTTATAGCTAAACCTCTGTCTTGTTTTACACCTTGAAATAAGAATAAAATGGCCATCAGCATGATTCAGTTTATTTAAAGCCAAACAATTGCACTGTGAGTCTAAAAGTCCAATATTATCATTGTTCTATCTCCTATATTTTCCTCATTGACCGTGCTCCGTTCACTCACATGAGCTACAGTAGTCTTTTGTCAGAGCATGGTTAAATAATAATTCTGAGGCTTTTTACTGAAGCTTTTTATGAACCTATGGCCCTGGGGAGTTTGGGAGGAGACACAGGTGGAACAACAAGTAGTGAATTAAGTAGAACATGTTAACTACAATACTCTGCTCCACTTGTTTGTTTTTGTAGAGGCAGGTTCGGAGTCGAGTCACATTTCAGTCTGATGAATGTGAAGAGACATCTGCCTCGGACAGGCATCGTTTGCAGCCACTCCTCGGGTATGACTGGATAGCAGGTACGCCTTTTGGGTCTCTCTGTCTGCCTGGTTCTGTCTTACACACACAGCCGTCTAATAGAGCCCTAACAGGTGATGTTTGTTCCTTCCAAGGAGTCCTGGATGGCGAGGACTCCTTGATAGAGCGCTCTGACGAGTTCTTCAATGACCTGCACACGTTTCGATCGCTCAATAGAGACCAGTGTGTCCACAGCCCACAAGCGGAGTGAGTGCTTCCCCTTTGATTGCCTGGTTTGCCTGTGATTGATGATGGCTTCATTGCATTACTATTAATTTGCTTTCCTGATAGATTTCCTAAGGAGAACCATTCAGCCGTGCCGCTACTCACTGACAGGAGCGGTCCAGAGGCTAACACGGATACTCATCAATGTAAAACGGGTCGTTTATTTGAATAGCCTCGTCTCATTTTTCTTTTTATGATGGCTGACGACGCAATTCTCATCTCTGCTCCCTCATCTTTTTGTTCAGGTACGTTTTCTTACAGGATTAACAGCAGACTGTTTCCTGTCCCACTTCACTCTCAGGAGTGCTGCCCCGTGTGCAAAGAGCACAAATCCTCCAAGCCCCACACTACTGCTGAACCGGCTCTCATCAGGTACTGATCGTGTTCACTGAAACTGCCTTTTCTGAGCCCTTAGGAACAGAAGGGCACTCAACCCCTGAGTGAGGCTGAGATATTTCATACTGTGTTATTTTTCCTTGTTATTTACATCTTGTAATCTGAAACAAGTCCTGTCCCGGGCTTCACTTGTACCTCTGTGAATGTCACGGTCAAATATTGGTACCTATTGATTTCATTTAAACACGTTATAGCAGAATAAAAGGGCTCTGTACCAAGGCTGTGGGGTTCAGTATCCTCGGGGATTCTCAGGAGTCACCCTTCCTCTTTTTGAGGAAGACTAATGTATCAGCTATTGCATAACAATTCAAAAACATAAAACAAAATCATATGAGTGGTGAGTGAGGCAAAATTGTGTGTCTGTGTTCAAAAATGCAGAAACGGGTCGGGTTGGACTTCAAATCTTTCACATTTTTTACCTTCATGTTTTTAAGATACAATCAACAATCAGTTTTAGTCAAGCTACATTAAAACCACCACATTTTACGACTGTAGCAGCATGTCTTTTGTCTCATGAGTTTTCTTTTTGTTTTCTTTGTAAGGGTCAGCATCCCTCGCTCCACCCTCCTGCCACCCTACAAGTACAAAGCTCATCGGCGATGCAGCTTTGACCCTTCTGATAGTTTGGGGTTACCATCGGTGAGTGACGGACCCCACTGAATAACCATTTATGACTTCTTGGCTGTGCCGTTTACCCTCTGAGATCTTCATGTAAACCTGATGTTTAGTTTCACATTTTAAGTGTACTGATCTTCATGCATCTCTCTGGTCCTGTCCAGCACTGTGTCTCAGGCTGGTCGAACACGGGCCAGAGCACGCTGCCGCCGCCCAGCAGCCTCGACCTGCGGACCAGTCTGAATATAAAGAGCTCCACCGGGTCACAGAACGAGGAACTGGAGGTGACACACTGCAGGCCTCGTACTGTATCTCAAACTTAAATATTGTTGACCTTTTTCACAGGAGACATTTTGATATGTTATAGTAGATAACAGTGAACCAGCATACACAATAGTAAGACCCTGGAACTGGCTTATCTACATGTAATGCACTTGTTATTAATGTTTTATAAAACAGTGGAAAAGAAAAAGGTCAATGTTGAATCTTGTGAGGACATACATGGCACAATTCTCATATGGTGGTTTTCATATTTTTCAGGACTTCTGTGCAGCCAAAGTGTCCGGTAAGATCTCCGACCAGATCTCAGATGTGTCCCGGTTGGTTCGTCACAACTTCCAACACTTCTCTTCCAAACGAAAACTAGGAAGCATGTTTCACCCTTTGCACTGACGAGCAATCAAAGGTCTATTTTGAGGTGATAGTCGTGGTTCCTGAGACATTTGACGCCACCCACAATTATTTCCTTTTCTGTGCTCATGTTTTCAGTCTCTGTGTTGTATTTAGTTTGACAATGTTTTATTTCAGTAATATTTTCTTTAATTTCTCTGTTAAATTTTTCTGTTAAAATTAGATTTTCTCCATGAAAGAAACAAACAGTGATCTCAAAAGATAATGCTTTGACATTTGTGCCTAATCTTAAATAGATTCATTTGAAATTTAATGAGTTATAGAATGAAATGCCGCATGTGATTAATTAACAGGCAGCTTAATTACATGGGAATAATTGAGTACACGACAGAGCAGCCTATTTCATGCTTGCAGAAGTTTGCATTTTATTTGTCCTGATCTGAACAAATAATACAAAGTTTGGACAGATTTAGACTTCACATGTGACTGTCGGCAGCCTCGTGGACATAAAGCAAGAGCTCATAGTGTTATGCCACAATGGAGACGGTTTTAGAATCAACTTTGCTTTGTAAATTTCACAACATTGAGGAAGTCATTTTGAATCCTCTCTGTTGCCCTTTACAGCTGTGTGCTTTGGCTCCCAGGTTTATGCATACTTCTGTTTTTAACTTCCTTTGACTCATCCTGACTGTGGGACAGAAAACACTGAGGCTGATGTACAAACTGTACAATGCAATTCACAGGAAACCACAACCATCTACACTTAATGTCAAACACTTAAGCAATGCCAGCGTTGACACTTCAGTGTTTCCAGTTTGAGTCTTGCAGGCTAACATATTTTAAAAAGTTAGACGGTATAAAAAAATGTTCGAGGGCACAAGGAGATGTAATTTTATTGTTATTTGTTTTGTTGTGAAGTTCAACAGGAATATAGTCGTATCTATTTGTTTTGAGTTCCTGGTCAGTGTTGTAGCTGCAATACTTTGATGTTGTAGCACAAACGGCTTGCTCAGAGCCGTGTGCTGTGTTCTGGCAGGCAGATCGTCATCTTAGAACAGAGTCGGCATCATGACATGAGAGCGAAGCTTTCTGTGAGATGAGGCTTTGTGATACTACATTTGAATTTTTACCACAGACAGTTGTGAAGGAAAATGTTGCTTCTGAAACTCATTATGTCATCATCATCATATCTTCAAATACCCATGTGGTATGCATATTCTTATGCTCTGCTCATTTTCATTGGTCAGCTATTAAAAGTTGCAGCTTTTACCGTGAAACTACAACATCCTAGTGAGAGATCAATAAACTATTATCCAACACTGAAGACTCAGCAGTGATCAGATGATAAAATGGGGCTTACGTGGTAATTATCAAAGGGAGATCATCCAGGTGATTTACTGCACTGGTAAATACTCGAGTCTGCAGATAATGGCCATACCAGTTTCTTTTTCACGTTTTAGTTTTACTTCCTTTAAATCATAAATAATAAAGTCATTTTCTCAATGCATGCTCTACTGTCTCAGAATAGAGTTCAATGCATTGTTCTACCTCCAGACAGCCATTGGTTCCCATTTCACACAGTATAGAAATTAACAGGATTTGAAACTTGCTTACATGAGACCAATAACGCATCACTCACTGTGAACAGCATGCCTGCCTTTACTGTCTTCAGTTCAGTATAGCTTTCTTCAGACTGATGTGAAAAATCTGCACCACGCAATACGCATTCAAGGATGTGACTTCAGCAAAAAAAGAATGTTCATATCTGCCTGAAGTAAGTTTCAAGTCTTATATAAAAATCGTAACCATTATGCTGTGCTTTTTGGAATTACTCAGCAGCAGCAGTGTACAGTATACAAGATCAGTAAACCTGAAAGTAGGCCAAAGTAGATAGTAAAAAAATCATAAAAAAGGTTTCATTTCTGCTGGTCACGTTTTATGCTGTAGCAACCAACCCAGTTAAACATTGAAGGTATGACAGTAAAAAAAAAAAAAATCACCTCAAAATTACAAGAGACAATACAGAACAAGATAAGAATGGATAACTGGGCTGCTCCTGTTGCACTTGAGAATGTTAAGAATGTGGGAGGGGGAACTTTATTGTGAAATGTCAACGTCTCACACAGGAACAAAGAGTGAGGCATCGGGGCACTAAACTAGGCAGTCGGTCGGTAGAGTACAATACAGTTAAGCTTTGTGGCTTTGTATGACTTTATTTCCACGTGTCCACAGGGAGTTCAAAGAGTAAAGTTGGAGATGACGTAGGCTTCAGTGCCTTGCTCATTGACACTCCAGTAATGACAAATACTAGCAGTCACGAGAGAGAACTTAACCTGGGCCTCTAGTAATCTCATCTCTAGAAAGATGAGATTTTATTATGTAACGATCAGCTATACATCCTGCCACAGTGTAGAAACCCAACAGCACGGACTAAAACAATTCCTATTACAGTTGATGTTGCACACCAAGCTGGGCTTTGTTGAACTCCACTGCGTCTGAACAAAAAGAGAAAAACAGCAAGTGAGTCCACTTGCTGTTTTGGTAGGGGCTTCATTGTTCACTACCTGTCAGTGCTGCTCATTTCCTACCGATTCACACAAATGACACGAATCACACGGGAGCAGCATCGAAAGTCAACTCATTTTCACATGGTTTCATTTTTCTGCTGCCTTCACACTATTCAAAATAATTTATTAATGATGGGACGAGATGATAAATGTAGGGGGGTTTTGTCTTTTCAATTCCAGTAGTGGGACCAGGTCATTAAAAGGTTTACTGTACACTGTAGGTTTTTCCAGTGATGCAGATCAACAAACGTTACAGAGAGAAACCCTTTGAGTACACAGGTGATCTCCATTTAGTTATGTGATTACTAAAACCAACGGGATGCATGATGTGTGTCCTGTTAAAGGGGGTTATTCATGCAAACAGGTAATTCATTAAAATCCCCTTCTGGAGATTAGTTTACTGTTTTTCGAAAAGTCACATTTAATCTGTTTTGATTCAACTTCCAAGGGGGATGTAAATACTTTTTACAGACTGTGTTTTTCCTCTAATCAGCTGCAGGTAAAAAAAAAAAGAAAAGATAAATGTATTTATTTTATGCTGTGTATATATATACATAATAGACTTCTACTGTCTGTCATGTAGAAGTACAGTATGAGTGTTCTACCTCATCTAAACTCTGTCAAACTCAGTCAATAATCAGTGAATGTAGGCTCGGGCCATTTCCTTCCTCAAAACTCTCGACTGACTTCAAGGAAATTGTTGCTGTGCGCACAGACTGCCGGCCCGCCTTTCTGAAATGATCAGTGCACACGCTGTTGGCTGTATCCTTGACAGGCTACAGTTTGCTTTAAAGAGGCAATGAAGGACATACTTGTACTGCTGGTTCTGCTGAATGCTCAAACTCTTAAGGTAGGTTTTGTGTCTGTAGGTCTGTCGTGCATGTTTGCAGTGTTTATCAGGGACTCTGGACAGGTTGGCTATCAGCCAGCGTCCGCATTCTTCTGCTGACCAGCGTACTGCTTCAACACAAAGTGAATTGTTAGATTAAATTTCACTTGCTTGGATTTATTCAACTAAGTGTGAAGTTAAACAGGCATAGTAATTAAAAAATCAGCTTTTGAAATATGTGTAAAACAATGTTTGCGCCATAAATCTTAAATGTAAATCAATGCATTTGATCTTTTAAAGACGTTTCTAGTCTTACTTACTTTATCACCCGTCATGGAGGGGGGAGGGGGGGAGGAAAACTTCTAATTTCTTTGAAAACATTCCTTTTCTGTATCCATGCCAGTTTTGTCTGCTGTGGGAAAAGGTTACAGTAGAAAGTCTTACTGTGGTGAACCTGTATGAATATTTGGTTTCAATTGCTTGGCATCTGATGCAGTTTCAGACTGAATATCTCATTGTTAGGACACCAGCAGCAGATCTGTCTTCTGTTGCCCGGCATCCTTTTGCATTTCTATGAAGAGGATGAGTTTGTTTAGGCATGCAGCCAGGAGAAAGCGGAAAACAACAGAATGTTCTCTTCGATAAGCTGACAGTAATTAATAACATGGAGCTTCACAGAAGTTTATCTTTGTCATCACATCCCGTGCTACCAGTGGTCACACCACAGAAGAAGTCACAAAGAAGTTTGCCGAGGGCTTCCAGTTTGCCGCCTCTGTTTCCTGTTATACGAGAAATACACTGATTCTGTCAGCATATTCTAACTTCTTCATGTCATTGGAGGGCACTGGGAGACACTTGCAACTCTTATGCACAGGACAGGTGTCTCATCAACTGTGCACTATGTCGTGACTTTTCAGAACACCAGTAATGTAGTAGCAGCTTTATTTGTGATATTTTGGGATGTCTGAAGCTGCATGGATGCATGTGTGCATATTTCAGAGGGCCCCGCAGACAGGAAGAGATACTGTTGAGGTGAAATGCACCTTCTACAAATTCAGAACAATGGCTGCCTGTTTGACCATGCCTGCGGCCCAGGCCGACAGCATTACCAGAAGGGAAAAGGTGGGCGCAGGTGTGGGTGGTCTGTGACTACTTTAAGCTCATTTTTAACTGGTTCTGTTTAACTGTTGTCAAACAATGACTTTATTGTAGATTTTTTTAAATTACTACCAGGAAAAATGTCAGGCTGATACCAAAGTTGGCCATGGGTCATTTCAAAATGACTAGTTACCTGGAAGCTCAAAGCCCCCCCCAGCGGACTTAATGCAGCTTTGTGTCAGAGCATTACAAGAAAAGACTTTAATGTTTTTCGCTCTCCTCATCTGAACACCACTAGATGAGTTGCTCTTATGTGTTGTGTCTTTCCCACAGGTCTGCTCTCAGCCCTATCAGGCAGACTCAAATGGAAAGTGTCTCAACTCAACAACAGAGTACACGTTGGATGATTTAAATATATGCTGCAAGAAATGCCCCCCTGGTAAGTGATGTCCTGTATACACAGCCCGGACTGCAATTTGTAAAGTTTCTAAAAAATACTCAATACTCAACGCTGTACTGAAAGACAAAGCTGCTTCGGTGAAGAACACAAAAGGTTATTTGGTGACACAGGCTGTGAAAACGTGTTAGTAAAAGCCTGGGCGTGGAGGTGTGACATTTTAACACCTACAGTAGCTCAAGACATTCATCACTTTCCTTGTTTCATCCGAAGAGACTACATGAAGCAAGTGTTTTGTGTACATTTGTTTAAAGTAGGGCTAGACCGATAATTGGTCAATCTCACACAGTATCAGTACATGTGTGTAAGTTGATAATTGATGAGAAATTGCACGACATAAGTTACAAAATAGTGTCACTTAAACATACTTTGTCCACCAAAGAAAAGTACATTTTTTAAGTGTCAAATGCCCCATGCAGTGTAGTTTGCTAAGCCCCATCCCTCCTTTGCCTGTCAGATGCTGCTCTCACAACACAGGGTCCTATGATTTCAGACAGAGGAGGACAAAAGCAGCTTATCGTTGATTTTATTGTCTAAAATGACAACTATCATCAGCAGATTTTATCAGCCAAATAGCTGATTAAGCTAATGTTAGCTTCATGACTGGGTTGTCATGTTTTCTTATTATTTGTTAGATGTTTGATATAAATCTATCTAATCGTTTTGATCTAACCTAATGCTGTTTGTTCGTATACTCAAACAGCATGTTTTACTTAAAATGTTAGAGACAGGCCTTTAGGATGAGGACTAACCAATTCGCCACATGTAACACTATCTTGGGTAATGTTGTTGTGATTGCTGGAGTGTAAACTTCAAATCCAATAGAGCAGGACAAAGCTGCTAACATTAGCCTAATAGCCTCCAAGATCAACTATACTGTATAGTGCTAATCGTGAACAGGGCTGTTTTTGTTATAATGTAAAATAACCTGTCACTCCACAAAGAAGTAGGATACAGGTGTAGCTCATGATGCACAAGTGTTTCACCTCGCAGCTTTGCAACGTTGCAGCTCATGAGGAGCAGGAATCGAGACACATTGTCGAATGTATTGTAATTAGTATAGACACGTTCTATGAAGTGTTTTCATTTAATCTGTTCTCGCCACACCATCTCAATCTTCTTATAAAGATTTGGGCTATAAAAACTGGTCATTATTAAAAAATAGTAATCAGTTACCTCCCACGACATAAACTGCATGTAAGTATTCTGTGTCTGTATCACCATTTCATTTTGGACTGTGATTAACAACACTATTTTAGGCGTGAATATGTGATGTGTTTTAATCAAACCAACATCAACGGCATGGTACTGTGATGCACAGTGAAAATGTATGAGGAATAATATGAAATGTATCTTTTAATCTTCACACTTTTTGTCTATTGGTGGAAATTTTGGAGTTACAATGCTTGCGTGCTGTTATAAAAGGCATTTAAAGACAACTAACAAGAGGGTTTTCATTCATATATATGTTCTAACAGGACATCGGCAGATACAAGAATGCTCTAAAACTACTGAGACGGTGTGTGGACAATGCCCAACAGGCCTGTACTTGGACAGCTGGAACTACGCTGACAACTGCTTCTCCTGTCCCAAGTGCAAAGACGGTCAGGAGCTGCACTGTTAAGAATGCAATTTTAAAAAATACTTATTGTTTTGCTTTATGTTTTAACACATAATTGTTCCTGTAAGTAAAACATTATTTTCTACATACAACCAGCCAAAGGTCTGCAGGAAGTTCAGAGCTGCTCCTCTACTGCAAGGTCAAGATGTGTGTGCCAACCTGGGATGTATTGCATCATGGACTTTGATGACCCGTTCTGTTCAGCGTGTGGACGTTACAGGAAATGCAAACTCGGTTATGGAGTGTCTGTGCCAGGTACAGCAACTGCTATTTTTCAATTGTTTGTGTGTTTACCATAAAATACATATATATATATATATTTTAATTTAGATATTAACGCATTGATATTCAATTACATTTATTGCAAAATTACAAATGTCAAGAACATGTTTACAGTTTGAAATGTTTTTACAGTGAAATGTTAGTAAATGGCAACATGTTTGGGTGTTGTTCTCAGGGACAGTCAACGCTGATGTGAGGTGTGAACGGTGCCCCAGTGGGAAGTTCTCTGACACAGTCTCTTCCACAGACCGCTGTCTGCCCCACACTGAGTGAGTGAAGCATAAAGTCACATCTGTACGCAGCTGTTTGAAGCTCAGATCTTTGATCTCTCGCTCTGTTTCTCCCCAGCTGTCATGGGGGGGTCGTTGTCAAAAATGGCAACACTACCTCGGACACCGTGTGTGAACCTGAGGCGTATATGTCCAACACGTTGCCTCAAACCTCAACACAAGGGCCTCCCACTGAGCTTGTGTTCACGACTACAATCACGATGAGCACAGCGAGGACCACAGTGAGGAGCACAGTCTCAGCAACCTCAGACTCCAACACTCTGCGTCGACCGACAGACACCACACTGTCTGTTAGCCCGTCTTTTACAGAGACGGTGTTCAACTCTTCGACAAAACCCCCGCCACCAGGCACAATGCCCGACAGTACACTGGGTACGGTAACTGATTCTGTGTTTCTCAGCCATCGTTTCTCAGTCATCGTGAGAAAACTATGAGGTCTAATCAATGTGTCATCTCTCTCCTTCTGCCTCCCTGTTTTGTTTCTGTTTACCTCTTTCTTAGCTGCAGTCATTGCCGGTGTCATTGGGTTTTTACTCTTTGTCATCGTTATCATCCTGCTGTGCCTTTGTAAACCAGTCTGGAAGAAAGGTAACTGCATCCTGTAAAAAAAGAGTCAATTAATCGTGTTCTTGTTTTGTGGGAAAGCTATGATTTATATCTACATTATTTTGATCTTCAACTTGAATGATAATGACCTATATTTGTCAACATCTTCATCAGGAAACCTCATCGTTTGTTTCAAATTTTCACTACCTTACTAATGGTTCACATTGCTTTTTTTGCACAGATGAAGAAGGATTTAATCCTCAACTAGACGCAAATGCAAATTGTGAGAGTGGTGATAAAGTGAGTCTTCCGCATTTTTCTTTTTCTTGACAACCTTTAAATATAGTTGTATCTGTAAAGAATACTGAGAATCAACCTCTTTCTGTCTTTCTACTGCAGATCAATCAGGGTTATTTTAGGCAAACCCAGCTGAATTATATCACAGTACCCTCACCAGAACAACAGTGTCTGCTGCAGAGAGGGGAAGCCTGCAGTGACCACAGTCAGTGCAGTAACAACACTGAAACTTTGACCCGAACAGACGGTTCTAGCAGCCAGGAGTCCATCGGCCCTTTGCAATCCACCATGGCTCTTCACAATCCACACTCTGCCCTGTCGGAGCCCATGACTTTACTTTCCAATACAGAGACTGTACCCCCGCAGCCCAGCATCCTTACACAGTCCTCCTCTCAGCCCACCAGCCCACAGGTCATCAGCCCCGTGACCACCAGCCCCCACGTCAACGTCAACATCACTTTCCACATTGAAAACAGGTCTTGTGGGACACCGTCTGTCACGCCCACAGACTCGATACAAGTTGACTCTAAACTCCCCTTTGGAGAGGAAGAGGAGTCATTTAGCATCCCGCATCAAGAAGCCGGCAAACAATCACTGATGTCAGTGCAGGAGAGTGAAAGCTGCAGTGCACCTGCGTGAAAGACTGATACATCAATTTGTTTGTGATAGAACATTGAAAACATCTGACTGGAAACAAGTTGCATTTCATAGCAAGTTTCTTATTATGAGGACAACCAGACTAGCTTAAACCTTCTATTTCCATATCAAACCCATGAACTGTCACTGTGTGTTTATATATGTATATACAGTAAATAAAGATGTAAATATTGTCTTTCCTTGAGTGATGTCGTGAAAATACAAGTAGTAGTAAATTAAAAGGGATATAAATTATGATCTGCAGTCTCCAGTCATCATAAGGTAACTAACATATCTTTACAAGAGAGTAAAATGTAATCCCGACCTCCAACCTTTCCCATATAACAATATTTAGATCTTTTGTAAAAGTTAATGAGTATGTGTAAAGAATACTCGAACACAGGTCCTGCAGTCATAATCTTACTTATAAAGACATAATAAATTAAGTGAATTAAATGTACTTCACAAGTAAGAAATACTCATTAGACAGCTGAAAGGCTGTCTGTTTTGAGTTATGACTGTATTATAACACAACTATACTGATGCATCACTGTGGAAGCAACATTTTCATGTTGTAGCTTGTCATTGTGGAGCCAATTCTAACTGCCTTATGTATACTTGTGGCTAATTTTATTATAAGAATGCATTATACTTTATTTTAGTTCATACAATATTTTGTACCCAACATAATAATAGGCAAAGCAAATACATCTTTACAAAATTGTAGTGGAGTTAATTGTACAATATTGCAATTTGAAATGTAGTGGCGTCTTAATATAAAGTATAAGGTTTTGGGACTCACAATAGCTGGGCAAAGATTAAAAGATTTTACAACACATACTAACGTGATTCTCTCAAACCTCTCATGAAGGAGCCTCCACCTGTACTGGAACAATAAGGTGTTTTCTCCTGACACCTGCTGGTTGAAGGTTGACACTGCAGCCTGTGGAAGCCGGCTCATAAAACGCGTTTCAGTCAACAGTGACAGTACATTTTTATAGCAACTTCTACACACTTATTTTATTTGTTTAAAAGCCAAACAGCTTCTTATACAAATCCAGTAACAGTTCGTGTATTTTAGCGTGTTTATTTGTTGTAATCATGGTAGCTAAGCAGCGATGCTAAGCGCGAGGTGAGGAAGTCTGAGCCACTCCATTAATGGAGGGAGTTAAACTTTATGTTGTCATTTATTAAGCCTCGTATCCCTTAATCAAATCACTCATGATCCTAAATTTAACACAAATCTAGTTCTATTCCTTTTGACTTTCCCTCTTGTAAGGTATTTATCGATGAACAGCTGTAATCCTTTAAATATTACGTTTGATAACACCCCCATCGATCGATACAGTTGGTTGCGTCTGTTGCCGCTGTGAGCTGCTCTCCTTCCTGAAAGACACTCGCATTGGAGCCGCCGATGTTGCTGGAAAGAAGTCGGTGAGTTGAGTCTTTCTTCATTCCTATTAATTTCTTCGCTTATGTATTGACACATGTAGATACCTTCACCCCTCACCTGTTCACCCCCTTTTTAATATGTAGCTTATTAAATTAGTTTGGCCCCATTTCGTGTCTCTGTCCCCTCACATCCTCCCGGTGTAGTGTCGTGGTCCTGGTCGGGTATGTTTACAAAATCCAGCTTGCAAGCAAATGTAGAGCAAGCCAATTAAAATAGCCTGTATGCAAAGTTACAACACAAGTGTTGTCTCGACAGTTTGTTGTAGATGGTAAGAAGTAAAAAAAAAAAAAAAAAAAAGAAGCTCAGTCCGGGCGGTTGGATATCTCCTAATAATGGGAATTTAAAAGGAAGCTTGTTAACAACGGGGTGGGAGGAAGACAGCAGCGGAAATAACACCGCTGCAGGTGTTTCCCTGTTTCCTTGTTGGCTGGTGGAGACAGTTCCTCCACAATGAGAGTGGGAAAGGATGTAGCCAGGTGGAGAAGTATTTAGATAAAAGTATCAACATATTCAGGTGTTTCCTCAAGTAAGGAGGGAGCTAACAAAGTGAAGACTAGATTACATCTGCTCTCTTGAGAAAGCTAAATGGAATTACGTTACAATTTAGTTGTTTTTGGTAAGAAAGTAAGAGGTTAAAAGAGCAACCTGGTACTTCTGATATTAGCTTGTGCACTTGACACTTATTTTAAGTAAAAGTGCTTCCAAACAGGGCGACAACTCTTTTGATTATCCATTAATCTGCTGATTGTTTTCTCAAGCCATGAATCGTTTGGTCTGGAAAATGTCAGAAAGTTGAAAAATCTAATTTTCCCAGAGCTCAAGGGACATCTTCCATCTAGTTGTTTTGTTCGTCCAACAGTCAAAAACGGTCCAAAAGATGTTGAATTATAAAAAAAGCTGTGAAAACTAGCAAATATTAACATTTGAGAAGGTGTAACCTGTGAATTTGTTGGCATTTTTGCTTAAAAAGTGCCAGCCAGCTATGACAGCCCACTGGAATCCCTTAGAGAGACGTTCGATGTTTCACTGGCTCTCATTGAAGTGTGTTTCGTTAATGTGTAACCAAGAGAATCTGCCCTGTTAATCATTTGTTTGTTGTAAATACATCATTTGAGATTAATGGCCCCTTATTGTTTTTGTTTGCCATATTTCAACAGACAGAATAAAGGTTTCTGAAGATCTCGGCATCATCACATGGCAGTGAACCACTCACCTGCAGATTAAACCAAAGTACACTCAGCCCCGGAGCATTGCCCCTGTCGATGCCGATCGGTCTCCGTCTTTGCAAATGGCTTGCTGCTTGAAGGACGAGCTCCTCTGTTCCATCTGCCTCAGCATCTACCAGGACCCCGTCAGCTTTGGGTGCGAGCACTACTTCTGCAGAAGCTGCATCACCGAGCACTGGAGCAGGCAGGAGCTTCACGGAGTGCGGGACTGTCCCGAGTGCCGGAGGACCTTCACCGATCCCCTGCTCTCACCGAGTCTCAAGTTGTCCAACATTGTGGAGCGCTACTCGGCCTTCCCGCTGGACGCCATCCTCAACGCTCAGCGGAGCTCCTACCCCTGCAAGGACCACGAGAAGGTCAAGCTCTTCTGCCTCACCGACAAAAGCCTGGTGTGCTTCTTCTGCGACGAGCCGGCGCTGCACGAGCAGCACCAAGTGACGACTATCGACGAGGCCTACGAGGAGATACAGGTCAGTTGTGGCGCTCGCACTCTTTGACAGCTCATTAGCGAGGCAGAGGATGGCATTTTCTTAGAACCCATCAGCACTCTGCGCCACATTCAGGCAGTTGCACTCGTTCGCCCCGCAGGAGCTGCCCAGACAGTTCATTCTCAATCCTCTCCTGCCACAGAGCAGCTTCACTGAAGCCGTTTAGGGATTTTGTGCTTTGCCCAGGAGTAGTTTGGGTCCAATAGGTGCTCGGGAGTGAAACGTATCTCATTTACTTTTCCCTTGCCGATGCCCACATTACCTGGCACATCGGTGAGTTCAGTTGGGTTTCATTCCGTCTCTGAAATAAAGTGAATAAATGTAAAACCTGATCATTTAAATCCCGGTTTAAATAAATTTCACACATTGAACAACAAAAAATGCAACACTGATGATGTGGATGCACTGCACTTGATAGTATTGTCATATTGTTCTGAGTGTTTCCAATGTGTACATTGGAAGTATTGTGGTATGTCTCAGTGAAGGGATTTTGACATGTGAGTGCACCGACAGATGTAACGTGTAAAACTGATCCCATGAAGTTCAGATCAGTAATATTTCTCTTGACAGTGACTTTGTAGATGTGAGCTCACTTATGAAGCTTATGTTAACATGTCGTATGTGTTGACACCGAGTCATATTTTCCACATTAACAGGAGCAGCTCAGCGTTCGCTTTCCTCTCTGTGTTTGGGATAATTCCATTCCCACAGAGCCAAAATCCAATAACTGTGAAACAAAGCTCCTAATCCTGTTCCTTCTCTGCTCCAGTATGCAAAGCAACACATTCCAGTCTTGTTTAAAGGTCTCTCTCATTCCTTCAGTCCGCTGTTACCCATGTAGATATTGAGATTTGCTCCATTTAATGTAATCGTTCACCTTGCTGTCTTCTTGGCAGATAGCAAGGTGAACGTTATGATAAGAAACAGACCAAAGTGTGGATTGTTGACACTCAGCTATGCAGTTTTGAAGGGATTACACTCTCCTGTTGCAGCGACACTCATTGGATGTCACCCTAACATAATCTCTGCTTTAGTTTCACAGTTTTGATGATTCATAACATTGAGTTTAATGCTACACGATCGTCTTCGCCACAAGCCTACATTTTTTAAAATGCCACAGACGTTGTAACTTTGAGTGTTGCTTTAGAAGTCCTCCCTTGCTGCAGAGAGACTGTATCAATGAGATTGACTATTCATTACACTCACACTTTCAGGAGGGTGTAAGAGGTATCTTTGACACCCGGCAAGCTCAATGCGCTCTCACTGCTGTGAATCCGTAAGCACAGGATCATGTGGAGACTGCAGCTGAACCATAAACTCAATCTGATGCAGAGTAGCGAGACAGAATTAATGGACGTTTTGTCATTTATTGAATGGCCAAAAGATTTTTCAGAGATGTCTACGGTCTGGTGTTGGCCGGATTGACAGCCGTTGGAAAAACCGACAAAGCCAATCAGGGTTTTGTAAACTGGATGAAGAATCAGGTCCTTGTCTTTCTTTGCCGGAGCCGGAGAAATAGCAATGTGAAGTGTAGCTAACACGTGTTACTGCAGCTTTCACGTTGACTGAAGTTTAATACTTTTCTTGGTTATTATCTAAACTACTGATTACACTGGATTTACTTCTTTACCAGCTACAGTAGCGGTATCTTTTTACACTATGAATATATGACCCATCACACACACCCTTACTTCCTCTGTACTGCTCTTGTGTATTTGTATATTATCGCATAGTGTTTCTAATCATTTACACTTGCTAGCTTTTTTTGTTATCTTCTTTAGCTATCTGATCTTATTTTTCTGTGATTTTTGTTGTCATATTTCTTTACTCTGCTGTTCTGACTCCTGCGTCTAAACAAATGGCACAATGAATAAAGCCTGAATCTGTTCAGGCGTCATAAAAAGATAAATGATAATCGGCACATAACTGAGTGAAACAAAATGTCAATTCAGTCTTAATTAGGAGGATTAATATCAATTGCTTTTAAATATTATTAGTTTTTAGGATTGTTTTCTTGATTACAACCTGTTAACTCAATTGAGGTATTTGTGAGGAGAGAATTAAAACAAAAGACGAGTTAAATAAGTAGAATACATGTAAAGTTAGAGAGACTGTTGGTGGGTAGTATAGAGCTACAGCGGTGCCCTCCTGTGTTCTGCATTGAATGTAATTGCCAGCGCTGTGAACATCAATGCTCTCCTCCTTGATTTCCAATCAGGCTCTGCACTGGAAGCCTGAGAAAGGTCAAAACCGTGTAATCTTGGAGCAGAAGTAATTAGGCCCAGCACAAGATGCTTCTCTTTTCTTGGACACCAGCTTGTCCCTCTGCTTGGAGCTCTTTTCAAGGCAGCGTTCTGGCATTCTGTATTCTGGCAGGAGCTTTGGAGGCTTCCCAGATCTACAATACTGAAAGAGAGTATGAGCACACAGAGGCCCCGTCGGAAACAACCCCGTCCCACGACGAGCTTGGCACGCTCTCCTTTTGAGATCTACAAGTGGGGTGGTTTGTTACGCAATGTCTCGTCATTTCACTAGGCGAACGCAAACATCAGAACAAGGAGCCCATATAATCATTACTTCTTACTTACAAGTTTACTTATCCTTTCTTTTTCCCTCCCGGAGCCGACAGGAGCCGTGTGTCAGATGGAAACAAATGTGTGAGAGCTGCGCCTGCGGGGCGCAAACTTCCCTTTTAGCGTCAGGCTCGACAATGCTTAACTAAAGTGCCAAAACAACATGGCGAGGATGTGTTAAAGTGCAGCAGCAATCAGCCCCAGAGTTTTGACTATCTGGGCCAGAGGGGCGCATGCCGTGCCAGCATGGTGACCTCCTTTAAAATGAATCTCAAGAGTTTTTGTTGGGTGTAAAGGTTTTGGTAGGGCGAGAGCCAAAGCTTGTTTTTGTTAAACACTTTGGCGCATGGCATTCGGGATTGGCGAGAGTTGTCTCTAATTCTACGATGCTTACTCCTCTGCCTCCGTTAGCGTGATATAACTCATCATTTGCGTGGCTCTGCACAGCTGTGACTCGCTCACAAAGACGGGGACGAGAACTTGTGCGGTCTGCTTTCAATTTGCCAGATACTCTGTAAAGAGTCATGATTTTGTTCTGTGGGGAAAACCCACCAAACAAACCCTGATGTCTGAGTAATAATTGTTCACCGTTGCTGTCCATTTCCCCAGCAGTGTTTGCTCTTAAGTTACGTCATCCTCTCTCTACGTCATCCGCTAGATCAGCGGGATGACACACACATCGCCTTGTTGTTTGTAACCCATCTCTCTTCAGATATCAGAACACTGATCATTAGTGTGTTTCACGATTAGTCACTAGGATAACAAAATCACATTTCAACATCCACAGTACGCAAACATGAACTAAGCCCTAGGATGGGCCACCATGATGAAACACCGAATCATAACGTAGTCTGTCGTGATCCAGAACTGCCGCGTGTCGGCCCCGATTGTTTCAATTTCTTTTGGTGCTAAATGTCATCGCTGTCGATACGTCATCTCACGTGTGTTTATCATTCATGGCTTATATTTTACATAAGCTGTAATTCACTTTCACAACACATTTCAGCACCAAAGCCTTTTGATTTGATTCACTCAAACGGACCAGATTCCCAAAAGGTTTTAGATGTACGCACTCCTGTTACGTCATGGCACCACTGCTGTCGACTGCGTGTCCACAGTGTGTTCGGCTGGCCGGTGTCCACTGACGAGGCCGGGCCTGTAATCTTCTTAGCCTGGCGTGTCGCTCTGCTGACCTCCGGCCCCGAGTCTTGTTGCTGAGTTGAGAGCTTTACCTCCTGCTGATTTTGCATCCTTTTCCTCCTGTAAACACTCCTGCGGGCCAAATCTGTACCGCACAAACACACCCAGCGCACGGCCGTTGCAGGTTGACACACGCACATCTGGCAAACAGTCACCCGACACATAACTGCTCGCTTGCTCGATGTTTCTTAACATATAGACATTAAAGGTGGGTTGGAGGAGGATTTGTCATTCGCGTCAGGGAGCGTAGGTTTCACAGGGAACTAATGCATTCTGATTAGGGGTTTTATTCCAGCAGTCATATTGGAACGGCATTAAACACCATTTAAACATTATGTTCAGGAGCAGAAAGCACTCTAAATGCAAAATCTCAATTAACAATAAAATCAAATCTTCTTGAACTGAAACATTAAACTGAGCCACAATCAGCCCTCTCAATCTCCAGATTCTTAAGCAGTCTCATCATTTTAATCCTCTGTTGTTTTGTTGTGCGGTTATTTTTATGCCGTCTGTCTTACTTTGAACTTATTGAATGAGGTTAGAACCAGAGAGCCAGACTTCTTATCTACAGAGCCGCATCTCTTACCCAGTACAGTACGTGCTCTGTGCTCTGGGAGATAATGTCCTTTTTTTCTTTTAGGCTGCATGCTTAATGGTGATGAGATTACATCCCTCCCTCAGTCGTGCTACACTTGGAGCGCTGGCGCCATCTTAAATAGAGGTTGGCTGGACGCTGTAACCTTGATTGAAGCTGGACGAAGCTGCGCACTTATTATCGCACCCACTGTGACCTAAAGTTGGCAGTCAACTGCTGCGGAGGACAAAGTGGAAGCCACAGCAGCCGCCGTGCCTTAATTGTGATGATGGAGGCTGTCAGCGGGCCGTATGCGACCGCAGTACAGCAGAGCTAGACGGACCCATCCAGCTGTCTGCTTGCCCTCGGACGTGTTTCCGCTCTACTTGACAGCGATGTAAGACCAGATAAGAAAGGAAGTAAGACTGCAACCCCTGGTTATACATGCATATTTGGGGGGGGCTTAACTTTGTTCCACAGAGTATAGATGGTATAGCAGCTGTGCAGTAATGCTGGTCTCAAGCCCACGCAGCTGAAGAAGAATTAAATGATTAGTGGTGTTGAGTCGCCCACACAGACCTGTCACTCAAAGTGTCCAGATGCACCTGTGTGCTGTCCTCTATTAACGGCGTTCT